ACAGCGCGGCACCTGTGGCTCAAAGGAGCAGGGCTCCAGCCCCATATACCGGAGGTGGCAGGTTCAAACCCAGCCTCGGCCAAAAACTGCAACAACAACAACAACAAAAAAGACAAAGACAAAGGGTCATGTGGGCTCCAGCTAACTGTACCTCCAGTCTACAGCTCTGGGTGGGACATTTCAAAGCAGCAGCAGCGATCTGGTCCCCAGCCCCTAAGCATCTGATGACAATACTTACAACTCGTTGATGAGAATGTCCGGGACCCAGATGCTGTCGGTGGGGATGGACAGCTTGGAGATATTGTCAAAGTCCTTGGGGTTCCACTGGAGAAACTCATCAGTCCAGTGCTAGGGGAGGAGCGGGGAGGGGGGGTCACAGGCAGCCCTCTCCATCTTGGGGGAGGGATACCCAATACTCAAGCAGACTTCACCCTTGGAGCCCAGACAGCAGGCAGGAACTCTGCAGGGGAAAGCTGGGTGTGGTGGCACCCAAGTCCTTCAGCAGCCTTAGTAGGCACCCACCTCTGCACTCCTGCTCCCCCCCACAGACAGCAACGTGCTCTCGCGGCCTCTCCAGGGAAGCCCCTCAGCCATTTCTAATGCTATGGGTCCCCTTTTCACTCTCTGAGGGATCTCTGATGAATAGCTTCTTGGGTCTTGGCCTGGACCTGTGTAAATGGGATTAATCCCACTTCACAGGGTAGAAGTGGCTATTAAGTTGTGATCCATGGATTCTCCACTCATATGCCTTCCTGGCTGGTCTAAAATGCGAATTTTACCATGTCACGCTTGTGCTTCAAATTCTCCAGTCATACCCCATTGGCCTTCAGATAAAGTTAAACCTCAAGGCCAACAAAGGCCTCCATAACGTGGCCTCTACCTGTCTTTCTAGTCTCATGTTTTGATCACACCTGTCTGTGAATTCTGCACATCCAGAATGCAAAACTGCTGAAACCTCCACATCTCCATGCACTCTGCTCCCTCTCCTGTACGGAAATCCCTGTCTTCTTACCAAGGCAAGCCCCCCTCATCCTTCCAGACTTAGCCAGGGCATCTGTCTGCTCCGCTTCCAGCACACCTCCTGCGACCCCCACGCCTCCTCTGTGCTCCGTGGTAAGCACCCTGCCTTTGTCACACGGGAGGGGCTGCGTTGTTGTATTCAATTATCTATGGCTTCCAGGAGTCCGTGAGCTCATCGTGGGCAGGGTCTGAGTCTAGTTTGTGTCTCTAATTTTAGTCCCTAAGCACAGCTGCTGGTACACAGTAGGTGGACATTCCTTCACTGCTGACTGCAAATACCTGAGGCCCAGAGGTAGGACCCAGGCCAGATGTCCCAGGGACAGGAACTCCTATTCTCACTTGGGTCCTCTTGCCCGAGGCAGGGTGTGCCTCTGCCAGGCTGAAGTGGAGCAGTGTCTAAGGGGGCAGCATCTGGCTTCTTCCTCCAGCCTACTCCCTGTCCCGGGAACTAGTGGTGATGGTGGTAGAGCGTGCCCATGAGCGGTGAGGAGGGATTTAATAGACACCCACACACCCCGCAGAGCCACTCTGGGCCTGACCTCATGAGCCATCCTCACCCTCCTGCACCCCTCTCTTTGGCTACTCTAGCCTCCCTCTGCTCTGACTTCTTCCCCCAATCCCACCGGCTGCCAAAGCAGGGCCTCCTGTGGGCAGCAGCCTCCCCTCCCCTGCCAAGAACCTCAGAGTCTGCGCACCAGCGCCGGCCCCAGCCTGCCCATTAGAAGCTGGGAGGGAGGAGAAATGGCTGAGGATGCGAGGGCGAAGTAGCTGGAACGACCCATCCTGTTGCAATCACTCAATTTGGGTGTTGTCCAAATTTGCCTTAATAGAAGGAAGAACTGTCCGGCAGTTAGAGCTGTTTGAAAGGGAAGTGGCTGCCTTGAGGGTCCCCAGCACGGGAGGTGCTCCTTTAACAGAGAGAGGTCGGGGGTCCAATGGGCATTTCTTTGGGATACTGTAAAGAACTTCAAAACTGGAGTGGTAAGCTCCCTTCCACTCCCAGTCCTGAGATGGGAAGATTCGGGACTCTGGATCTTCCGCTGAGGGTGCCTCTGAACCTCTCCCCTTGCCTTCCTCAGCAAGACAGGCCCACTGAGATTCTGGGCTTCTTCTGGTGGAGGAATCCTTGGGAGAGAAGAAGCCCCCTCCCAGGAGGCAGGGCAGGGGCGGGCTGCTCACCTGCCGGTACCAGATGTAAGTGGTCAGGACCTGGTTCTTCTCATCCTGGGAAAGGAAACTGAGCTCAGATTTCCGGTCCTGCAGGCTGGCACCTCCCCACCACCACCACCACACACACATGCCACCCCGGGAAAGGAGCTGCTTCCTAGTGCTTCTGCTTCCTTGGGGGGGGGGGGCGGTGAGTAAAGAAAAGGATGCAGGGTGGGGGAGTGGATGAGCTGGAGCTGCCTAGCCAGCCAGGAAATGCTGAGCTTTTACTCGGAAAGAGATAAGATTATTTCTTTTTCAACCTCAAAACTATATTATATATATTATTCACACACACACATGTATGTGTGTAGCCTGCCTTGGTTTGAAATCGAGAGGTACAAAGACAGACAGAGGGGAACTTCCTCACTCTCCCCCCCCCCAGTTCCCAGCCCCACCAGAACGAGTTTATTACATTCATTTCCAGAGATGTTCTAAGGGCGGCAACTTGGTTCTGTATCAAGGCAGCTATGAAGACTGGGAGATCAGGCTCACCCTCTCCTCCCCAGCACGGTGCCACTGCATCTCTGTGTCACTGTCACCTTCTTCTTTGATTAAGTGATCTCTAGGTTGATTCTTCCACAACTATTTAACTACGCCTGCCATGGACCAGTAAGGGACTGGATAGGGCTGTCTGAATCTGACATAAGCAGGTGACCCTGGGGGACTCCGGGGTTCTGGGTGGGCAGCTATGGAGATAGTGCAATGCCTTGTTAGCCGCGGAGCCAGAACACTGTTACTGTGGGTTCTCAAAGGACCGCTCTGCTTCTCAGGGGGTGACTTGGCCTCACATGGCCTGCTTTTCCCTTGAAAGTCTCCCGCATGAGAGGGGACGGCCTGGAGCTGAGTGCTCACCACACTGAGGATGGCGTAGACAATGACATCGATGGCCACGGTCGTTGGCTTCCTCCAGTCCCACACGGGCCGCACGCCCTTCTTGTAGTTGGCCAGGAGGTGATCCGACAGCCTCAGAAGAGTGGGCTTGGTGGTGTTCCTGCCCTGCTGGGCTCCCCTGCGCCTGGCTGGGAAGGAGAGCAGTTCAGTGTGGACACCAGAGCCCTAAGTCTTCCCCTAGTTCCCTTGTCCTGCCTGCAAGCTATGAAAAGGAATGCGTCCCCACTGTCCCCCCTTACAAATCCCCAGATACTCCACAGACTCAAATTCTTACCACTAGAGCACTTTGTGGAGATTTCTACTAAAGCTCAAGTGGATTGTCTCCTAGATGGGAGCTATGCGCCCGTTTACATCAGAGCAGGGATTTGGCATGTAACAGAAGGTACGGAGACAACGGGAGCTTTGAAGGAGGCTGAGTGCTGAGAAAAGTAGGGGGCAGGTGGGTCTGTGAGGCCCCAGGTGAGGGGTCCCAGGGAGCAAAAGGGAAGCTGGCTGCTGGGGAGTGATATGGAAAGCAACAGGGACACAGGTGTGACACCCCTCCCACCCACCTAGGGCACAGTTTCCAAGCTCAATAGTCTGCATCAGGGTTGCCTTCAGCTGAGGTCAGATCTCAACATCTGTACAGATCACGAGCTCCTTCTACACCCCAGCCCACAGCTGGGGAAGAAATAAGGAAGGGTGGGCATCCAGAAAAAAAAAAAATTCCCTTTCTCTCCTGCAAAAGCCACCCTAAAGGATCCCCTCCCTGCTCCCTCCATCCACATGGGAGCTGCAGGGAAGGGTCTGCCAGAGGGCTGCTATGCATTCAACAGGGTTAAGAAGAAGATGGGGGCAGGAATGGAGGGAGCAAAGAGAAACCAAATTCTCCCAGGGCAGGAGGCCTGCAGGCCCACAGCAGTGATGAGAAAGCCAACACCTCGTCGTCCTCGTCTATGCAGATTTCGTGGGCAATGTAGTTTTCCTACTGGAGACAGTAGGGGCCCTTTGTGAAGGGAAGCATGAAATATGAGTGGGGAAGTGGGTGCAAACCTGGGGACCATGGTACAGATGGCTAAGAGGTGATGGGCCTGGCAGGGCAGACCTGCTGCCAACAGGCCTGGCTCTCAGTGAGCAAGGCTGCACCCTCTCTTGTTGTGTGTGCAGACACACAGCGCAGCAAGGCTTCAGAATCCCTCTCCCTTCTCTCCCCCCATCCCACACAAGGCTTAGGCTTCCTTTAGGAAAGAAAAGAGCAGAGAGAGATGGAAGGCAAGAGGCCGTTTTCTTAAGTGTCTCCTTTGGAATAACATCAGTTAACATTTACAGATAAGAATCCCCAAGGCTCAGAAGGGGGAGTACTGCACCCTACGAGTGGACAAAGTGAGGTTCAAATCCAGATCCATGTGTTTCTTTATATCAACGACAGCCAGAATCCTCCTGCCTGGGACTCCGACCAGTGTGGGGAGAGCCGGACTGATCCCTTCAGGCCTCAAAGCAAAGGACTGTTGCTGGGAGGTCCAGAGCTGCTCCCCAGCCAAGGAAGCCCTGGGCACGTCATCACTACAGCTTGTGTTTGTCTAACCCACGCAGCATCCCCAAATGACGGTGCGTCTTGTCTACAGCCCTGCACATCTGTCCAGCCCCTGGGCGGCATCCTTCTCATCGTGCCGCAGCCCAGCTCTGTAGGGAGAGAACCCTTCCGAAGGAGAAAGGAATCCCATCTGCAGCAAATAGAGATGGATTCTTGTATTCAGGGAGTCAGGAAAGGATGGGGGGAAGGAAGCCAGAGAGAAGTCTGGTATTACTGGATTTTAAGTTCGGGAGGGGAACTTGAAGAAACACAGGCCCAGAGAACCCATGCAACAAAGCCAGCAAAGTCGAGGCAAGCCGATTAGATTAGTTCTGCTCCCTGCTCTGATGCGAAAAAGCTGTGGGAATTGCTCCCCCTCTCTGGAGCAGGCATCCCATATACAACAGGAAGGGGGAGACCAAAGGAGTTCCCTTGTAGCCGCCACTCACTGAGTTTAGGGGCAGGGCAAAGAGGACAGAAGCCTTCTCTCGGTTTCTCTGAACCCCTTCTTTGAAACCCTAGGCTGCTCCCCTGCTCTTGCCCTGGGGTTCGAGTCTCCCACTCTCTAGCTCAGGATGCTCTTAGCTCCTACCGGCTAGGACAGCTGACCTTCCTGCGGCTGGTGCATCATCCCGACACTCCTTACCTCACCCCTCTGAAGACTGAGGCATCCCCTACCCCACCTGCAGAGGGCCAGCCAGGTCCTGCTGCTTCCCGAAGCTGCTTACCTTCTCCCTGAGCCAGCAGTGTGGGGAGGAGCAGGGTGAGCAGCGCCCGGGGGGCCCACAGCAGCATGGCGAGCTTCCCACGTGGGAGTGCCTCCGAGTGGCTGCTCAGAGCCAGCCCCACCAAGGGCCAGCCTGCCTGCCTTCTGCCAACCTCATGTCCCAACCAGCCCGCCTGCCTCTCCTGGTCGCTGCCTGCACCTTCTGAGGCTGCAGCCTCACGCTGCCCGGGCCACCAGGGTTGGGGAGCTGCCAAGTTTTCCAGCAATCAGACTTTGAGCTGGATCAGGTTTCAGGCGGGAGGGTAAGGGAGGGAGCTCGCCCTGGCTGATGTCATCTGCTGGGAGCTCGGTCCACCCATTCAGCCAGGTGGCATGGCCATGGGTCCCATGAGAGTGACTTGGGGACAGGGGCTCCAAGAGCCTGTGGAGCAAGGGTGCAGCTGGGAGGTCCCAGGCTGCTGCTTTCACTTCTGTCCCTTGGCAGGTGTGTTTCAGTGGCTCTGGGGTGAGTCAGGCAGGAGCCGAGGGCCATTCTCTTACTTTTCAGGATAACACAGTGCTCCCAGCCAGCAGGTCACTGGAAACCACTGCAGAAGTAGGAACTGTAGCTGAGGTCACCACAGGTCTGCCTTTTAATTCATCTAAGTAGTCATACTTAACAGTAAAATGTATATTTAAGGCTCGGCGCCTATAGCTCAACCGGCTAAGGCGCCAGCCACGTACACCTAAGGTGGCGGGTTCCAATCCTCAGCCTGG